TATTTATATACACACACATACACACACATCTTACATTCACATACGAGCGAGCACACACACACATACATACATTTTGTATATATCTATAGGTCGTATGTACAACACATAATTGATTGATTGATTGATTGATTGTTTGATTGATTGATTCTTTGATTGTTTGATTGATTGATTGATAGATTGGTTTACACGTATGTATACATATACTCTTTAACAATTTTAATCTCACACATTTTAAGAGCGTGTAGCTCAAAAACTACACTTCCAGTTACTTTGAATTTGTTTATACATGTAACGCAAGCTCATTGTCGTTCGTGAACTGTACTCACTAGGGCGCAGTGGTCTATCGTTTTGTCTGACGATGCAATTCACTTGGTTTTGATATTGTGCCAAATACTGTGAAAATGTGTGGGTAACTTTGAAAACAAAAACTGCACGCGCAAAAGTTGGACTCCTTCCAAATTTTTCGCAACATCAAAAGTGGATTCTCTTTATCGATTCACCACGCTTCAGCTGAATGAACCAGAGAGAAATCACATCATTGAAATGCTTCAGGTGGGCACTCGGCTATCGTTAGTCGCAAGATGGCTCAACGTAAACAGACACACTGTGTATGCCACACGGGATCACATAGCAATGACATTGACAGGCCCCCAAAATGACAGACCCAAATAAGTAGGACTCGGAAAGACAAAACGGAAGAAGGACGCATTCATCCTAGCGCAACGCTTGAGAAATCAATTTCAACCCCGCAAACAAAGACGCAGGATGAGTCGAAAAGACTTAGAAATGACAGTCCGATCTTTGTGCTATGGGCCAAGTTTGTCGCATAAAACTGCAGCCCAATCACGTCCAGCACAGACTTCGCTCGACACAGCAGCACATATCGCATGTGATGGCCAAAGCTAAATCAAACAAGTTCTCTAGCCCAATGTACTTTTCTTTCAAAATCAAGCCCTATGACAAGTATTTATGCATAATAATGCACCTGCTCATAAAGTGGCTGTGATAAATCAATTCCTCAAAACTAACAACATTCCTCTCCTGCGCCGAAGACCAGCGCATTCACCAAATTTCAATCCAAATGAGCTCAACCCACCCTACTCCAACCGAAACCACCCTCCCACCCGCCATCACCCCGCGCTCCCCCCAAACTGCACAAACACTAACCAATACTACTACTGTAGGCGATTGAAAAACGGGGACACAAATCATTTCAAAAGACACAGAATACCAAACCTCATTCACTCTAGCACCTATGACGTCATTTGCTTTTCAAATTTCGACCCGTCACGTCACGACCAGTACCCTTGCCATTGATCTGCTCAGCGAACGTGCTGTTTTGGCAACACTGTCTGCAATAATCTTTCCATAAGACACTGCTCCTTCAAAGCATAGCGGCAGTTGCCAGAGCTACAGGACGCTCCAGTCCTTCCCGCCAAATTAAGAAATGACACGTAAGCCGGCTAAGCTCTACAGAAAAAGAAGTAGTGAAAATAGAGGTAACGATCTCTTGAGGCAAGGAATAGAAAATGCTACCATTCGAATGACGTAAAATGACCATACGCTATAGAGAGCTCTTGATCTCCTACGAGCTCATAACGGAATTGCCAATATTAGTCCAACGTTTAGACAAGGTCTTTGCTGGGGGACTTTGGCTAGTAACGTTGGTGTTGCCTAAGTGAGCCATCGTTTGGCTGTTTGTTCCTTCTGTTCTCTCCGCTAAAAGATAAACCTGCAAAGCGTCTTTCGCCACAGATGTGGTTAGGACTGAGAACTGAGATGTTCCCAATGGTCAATTGCTGTGCGAGCGTATGAGCTATCAAGCTTTTGTCTTAACTGTTCTCTTCGATTAATCAATATCATATTCCAAATTCAGCCAAATAGGCTGAAGAGGAAATTGAGTCCACTCTTTTCCTGAACTTTCTTTGTTCTCCGCTTCTCAGGATTCAAACTGTGATGTTTCTCCTTGCTTAAATTGCAACTTAAATTATTAATCTTTTATGTCAATGATTTATTATCCAAATACATAACGAAAACAAAAGAGCACAAAGTAGACATAAATAGAATGGTGAAAGAGAGAGAGAAAGAGAGACAGAGAGAGACAGACAGACAGACAGACAGACAGACAGACAGACAGACAGGCAGACAGAGAGACAGACAGACAGACAGACAGACAGACAGACAGACAGACAGACACACAAACACACAGAAACACAGACAGACACACAGACAGACACACAGAGACAGACAGACACACAAAGAGTACCTCAGAGACAGAGAGAGAGAGAGAGAGAGAGAGAGAGAGAGAGAGAGAGTTAGAGAGAGAAAGAAATGAATGAAAAAGAGAAGAATAGAAGGGAGAAGAGGGCGGGGCGATCGGTACAGTTGGAAGTAAGACAATGAAGAATGCCTTGCGGATGTATTGATGACCAACTGTTTAGTATGATAAATAGCAACGTGATAATAAGTGTTTTCATGCGCGTCTTACCTGGCACCAGAGATGTCCAAAAATCCAGACGTCCTTGATCTCCAGCACAGCGGAGAAGGGCAGAACGAGGACTCCAAGAAGTAGGTCAGCACAAGCCAGGTTCACGATGAACACGTTGGTCACTGTGCGCAGTTTCCTGGTTGTGGCCACGGCTGCTACTACGAGAGTGTTTCCCGCCAAAACCAGGAGCACCACGACGCACAGTAGGGCAGAGGAGAGAGCGATTTCCACTTGGGATGAGGGCATCGTACCCGGTCGCTGTACTAGAAGAAACGTCCCGTCCTGATCACGTACGGAGAACAATGATGCTCAGTGGATAGTATGATCCTGTAGTCGTTGTTATGACAACGTAAACAAATGGGCATTGTTTGGATGGAGGCAGTGGTTGTTTTCTTCTCAATGTAACCTGTCCTTGTCCACAGAACTTTCAAATTCAAAATCGAATTTGCAAATTAAATGTACAATAAATATTTTACTTTTCAATACATCTGTCAACAGAATTTGTGATTTGCTGCACGGATTGGCATTTGAAAAGCCAGCACCAGCCCTCTATACTGGTGTCATTATTGTTGAGGTATGAGGTGTGTCTGCACCATCATTAATTATGATACCCTCAAGAGTTCTCGATTAGAACTAGAACAATGCACTCTATGCCCTTAATTTTCCTGCAGAAAAATCCGATGTCGTTCCTTATAAATCCATGAATGGCACGAAGTACTATATAAGTTGAATGAAAAGGTTTAAAAACAATGTACTGGAAAAGGAGTATTTGGCCTCAAATGTTAGGCATCTCCCACTTTCTTTACGCCAATAAGTCACCACGGGGACGGAAAATTTGTTCCAGGAAAAAAGACCCATAGAGAGCAAAGAGTACGAAATGCTCCCACGAATGAATCCGACACCAATGTTCCTCTCTCTGCAATTATTCCTTCTTGATGCGTTCCATACACTCCGGAAACTAGTTTTTAATAGCATATACAACACCGAGTGACTTTTCTCTTCTGCAGATATCCAGATGCATCGTCCTTACAAAGTTCCATCAGAGGTATATCTCAGTTCAAACACTGTTCGTACCAGCCCACGCGGAGTGGTCCCACGATCCCCGGATGCGTTGTCCAAATGCAACAATGGCTCCAACCTCAGATTGTCAGGTCGTTTACCTGCAAAAATAGATGGAAAACATAAGCAAACGTGGTGAAAGGGTGGGCGTGGTTAATTTGTAAAACAAAAGTTGGAGTTTTATTTCTTGTTGGATTTCTGTTTGTTTGTTTGTTTTGTTTTGGTCGTTTTGTTGTTGTTGTTGTTGTTGTTGTTTTGTTGTTTTTATGAGGGTCGGGTTTTTGTGTCTGTTTGTTTGTAGTAGTTTTTGGTTTGTTTGTTTTTTGTCTGCTCTTGTTGTTTCTATTTTTTATGGAGGTTTTTTAAGCCCACATCGACACGATTTAGACCAAAGGAAATATGAGGGGGCTCTCGTGGCCTACAGGTTAAGGTGTTCGCCTCTCTTTCAAAGGTCCCGGTTTCGAATCCGGGTAGCAACCGAAAAATTTTCTTCTCTAAAATGGTCTCCTTTCCCCTTCTTTCATGCTCTCTTGCAATGTTCTGTCGTCAGCTTTCGTCTCCATTTTCTACCCCCACCCCCGCACCTCCTTTGCTCCCTCCTCTGGGCTCCTGACACCTTCTGCAGCCTTCCTACTGATACTCCTTGGCTCCTTACTGCTGTCTTTCAGCCACACCACTGATCTTCTGGTAGGAAAGATGTACACCTAGCTCTCTCGGCCAAGGGCGTAAAATCTCTGAGGTCCCGTGTGCAAGTTGCACACGTAAAAGATCCCTTGGTAGTCTAAAACCAATAAGAGTAGGCTTCGG